CACAATGGGGATACCCAATGGATGAGTTATTTCATGGAAAATCGATTTAACTTGATTTAACATGGATGATTTGGGATAGCCTTATTCCAGGAAACCTCCATTTATAGGTTAAGTCATGTTAAGTCCATGGTAAAACGGTCAAAAATCCTTATGGTTTTGATATATATTTCAAGGACAGGGACGCCGCGGGGACTTCACCATATGATTTTAAAGATAACCAAAGATGGTGGTTAATCAACCGAACAGGCAGGATTGCCAGAACTTGAAAAACTTGATTCTCTAGGATTGATTGACCATGAATTCGACATGGTCAATCTACATTTACGCGCTCGTTTACGTCAAATCATGCTTTGCTGCGGCACTCTGACTGACCTATTCAATCTATTCATGGGGAAGCAGCGTCGTGCTGAAGAAATACCCTATAGGTTTATCTACCCCAAACCGGCTCATAAGCAATTCAATGGGCACATGGTGATCAAGCATGACATGTGATAAATATTGATAATTTTTATTGGTAATGATCGCAGCAACAGATTTTTAGGCAAACCCGTATCTATTTCAATTTGTGTTGAATTGGTTCGAGACCCAAACGGCTCAGGTGCGGCTATTGTCAGTCAACCTTAAAACATCTTAAAACTGTTCCCAGGAAATGTCAGCAAGTGCAGGGCAAATTGAGGGTCAGAGAGATTACCCATTCCTATTAGGCGGAGTTGAGCAACGTTTTTTCTCCAGATGATGGAGTTTGATTGAGGAGGAACTCACATTATTCATGCGTAGGCTATTGTGCTTGGTGCGTAGGTCCTGCGTAGGCATATAACGTAGGAGAGGCTGCGTAGGACAACGTAGGATAATGTTATATAGATTGTTTCTTTCTGACCTTGGAATCTTGTTTTTCTTGGTGGGTTGCAATGATTTTGCATGCAAACTGGATTGTATGATTCAGAATATGTTTAGCTGGAAGAAAGGGGAGATTAAAGCAGCAACCGCTTTTTCAGAAAATGACAGTGCCAAGTTTTCAAAAAAAAAAATCGGTTCGGACTTTCGCGTAGGCTCCGCGTAGACTCTGACGTGGGAAACGCGCAGGCCCTAGGTCAAATTGTGGCCCGTAGCCATCCAAAGCTTTTCCAAGGTCATCCCTCCACAAAACGTGGAATGACTTCACACAGAAATATCGCAGAAAGCTATATAGCCACTGAGACTGCCGATCACATCATGACAAAGTGCTCCACGCTTGATGCTTCCGCCTCCCTTTTGCATGTCAATGTCACCCAAAGAATTGTCATCTTCCAATTCTTCCTATTACTCTTCTGAACCAGAATCGTGACCACATCGCGTCAAGTTTAAAGATCGTTGCAGCAACTTTCGCGGAGGCAACCGCGTGGGGGCGTAGGCATTTCTTGAAAGGTAACCCTCTCGTAGGCAGTTTCGCATGGGAGGAGTGGTTTGCTTAGGCCGTGCGTAGGTGTCCAAATTTGTGTATTGCAGTTTAGCAAGGAAAAAAAACACACGGCCCAATTGCACTTCAACTCTGCCAGCAAGCAGTTTACATTAAACCAACCATGATGGGTATACAATGGGACCAGCCAGAATCAGGCTATCATAGGGGAAGCTAGCCAGGATGGAGATACAGTATGATTAAAATTAGATGATTGAAATGGAACATATTCGTTTTTGAACAGATGGTGTAGAGTCGATGAAACCAGTTAAGTTGGTGAGACTAGTTATATCGGGATATTGGATATATTGGGTACATTGGAATGCGTTCACCGCTACCAACAGCTGAACCAGTTAATCCGTAGTATCCTGTAATTGTTCCTATTTTCCACCCAAGGACGTGGTTGGTGGTGTCAAGTGGGTCCATGAGGTGGCCGGGGAGAGGAAAACCTGGGGTTCTGAGTGGGAATTTGGCCTGATACTCGTGTTTTAAATCATGGCTAACTGCGCACAATGGCTTTCCTGGGAAAGTTTTCTCAGGACTGACACGCGCACCTGGATTCCGGTTCCAAATGTCTACGGACTTAATCCTATAGAATTACAATGAATTAGATAGGCCCGCAGAGAGAGAGAGAGAGAGTGAGAGTGAGTGAGTGAAATGACTAAAGGTGATTCAAACGAGTGGAGACTACCAAAGATGTGCATAAACCTTGGGACCCTTGGGAAGTCTGCATCTGGGAGGACGGGTGGAGTTTCAACACAACCTACAAGGACCCGCATGCCCTGAGATGCCAGGAGTGTTCCTCTATCATTCTGACAGGGGTTGATGATGGCTGCTGCTTTGGGCCACGTTTGGAATCCGAAAGAATGTGGGGATGGGTCAAAACCCTATGATTACCATATTTGGAAGAATCAACATCCATTAACCAGCTATTTTAGGTACCATCCGGGTGCCAGGGTTTTGACTCACAACCATGTGGAAGATCTGCCACAACCTACGTTGGCAGGTTTCGAAGCCGGAAGTTTTGGGGCCTTTATAGATCCCCTGGGCCCTAGGACTTTCACGACACTGGCCACTGCCAACCACGCGAACGGCCTGGTAGTGCATCATTGGCCAGGTGCTCCTGACCACTGAAAAACCCTTTAGGAAAGTGCGTCACTAGCGGAGCTCATGGCTTTGTCCTGGCTGGTCTAGAAATTAAGGGGAAATCAACTCAATCACTGGTGAAACTGGCCATGTTTTTTCGAGCTTATGGCCATGGCCATTCCATTGGGGTACAATCAATTTTCAGACAAGATCCCATGATTAGTAAAGGGAGTAATTCCCAAATTTGCTGATTTCAACTTTGGTTCTTGGTGTAATTGTGCCGGGCCAATCCTTTTTACAATCTGCTTGTAGGGAGAAATCTGGTAATGTAATATAGGGATGAAAAATGACGAAACTTAAGCTAAGATCTCGAAAAAACAACTGGTGCTGAGCTGGTGGTGATGATGATGATGAGGCGGAAGACGATCAGGGGGAAGAAAAAGAAGAGAGTGCCATGCCAGGAGAATCCGGCGACCCGGCACTGCCAAATGGTGATGAAGGATCCGGATCAATGGGGATGGACAACTTTTGATAGGTGAATAATCTACCTATGGATAGACATGAGCATTTTTTTATGCCATGTTTGTTTTCCAGAGGATAGGCATCGTTTTAAGCCAAGCCCCATTGGGATCTCTGAACTGTGGCTTCGGTCATTTTAGGCGTGATTAACCTGCGGTAACATGTGAAATCTGGACGCACATCCCCAGAAATGAGCAGAGTAGCTGACCCTATTATCATACTATCATGTTCAGCACAGATTTTTTGGAACCCCATTTGAACTTACAAGCGGATGCTGCGCAGATCATCTTCCATTTACCCCAGGTGAAACCAAGATAGATGTGGAAACCCATGGGTCCTCGTGCGGAAATCATCTACAAAGGGTGGGTTTTCCACGACCATGCGAAGGATCATTGATCCCTCTCTGCTAAAATCCAATGGTTTTCCGTCACTTTGCCCATGACAGTTTTGCAATTTTGGAGCAAACCCAGTGTTGAACAAACTCAGACTATCTCAGACTCATACTTGTATCCATTAAAGGTGTTGGATAAATCATGATAAATCCACGTGTTTGATGGTTCAATCAGTTATATCGTCGCACATTTTGACGCTTAGATTCCCGATACTGAAATGTGTTCCTCCCGCTCTGTTACTTCCAGTTTGACCAGGAAACGCACCACAACTCGTTTCACATCGGGACAACGAACACAAGATTGTTGTCCGGGCGGGTTCCGCAAATTCGGACAGCTAGTTTCTCTGGCTAAGAGTTCAAGGGAGGAAGGATCATGGTGATTTTGCAAAGTGTTTGAAAACCAGCTTTGTGGGTGTCAAGGCAGGAAACAAAAAGTATACACTCTCTGCTCCACTAGATTTGGTCTTACCCCCCTAGAATTACATCGTAGTCAGACTTTGTAGCTTGGCCTTTTCAAGGCTCCGTTGGATCTTGAGGCCTGCAAGCTTGCCGTTTGTTTGAAGATGCGGCAGGCTACTGGAGGATGGATATCGACCCGCGCATTGAGGAAAGCATCTGAAACAAGTTGGGAATGGTACACACGCCCACCACCCCACGTTTGGCCAAGATGTTGAATTGATGTTTTCAGTTGGCACCCCTCGCTTAGTGGTGTTAGAAAGAAGAGGCTGAAAATTTTGGCCAGCAGACATACTCACGGCCATAGCACAAACATTCGCGAGCCACTTGCACAAGCAAGGTGGCTTGGGATGCGAAACAGCGAGAAAACTGCCTGAAACTGCCTGTGCTGAGACCCGATGGAACCGGGAATCTGAGAAGACAAGTTTGGGTTTGTGACGTTTCTTGCGCTGCTGCAACATTATTGTCATCAAAAAAGTGAGTGGTTCACATCAATTCCTGCCAGATCTGCCATGGCGACCATCCGACTCGCGCTCCGCAGGGTTTTCGGCCCAGTTCAGTGTTCAGTGATCCCCGAGTCTCCGCTGCAGGTCCACAGTCGGGGTGTCGAGATGACACAGTTCCGGGTTTTTCTGGTCAGCCAAGGGGCGGATCTTTCCGAAACACAGAGCCAGGCGTAATACAAGATAATTAGAGTCATCATGAGCCATCTATACATATATTATATAATTAAATGTTCCTTTTTTTGTTTTTTTTTAAATTATCATCATGACTGGTTGCTTCTAATTCTCTTCTTGGCTTGGTATGGTCTGGTTGATTCAAGCATTGATCAGCTTTTCCATTGCAGCATCAGCGTAGGAAGATGATGATATTCCCCATGATCATTCTTGGTCAAGCTCCCATTTTTGGTGGTAAGACAGACATGGTAAAACGGTAAAATTCTCATATTAAAATGATATTACATATACAGTAAAGGTACTGTAAGTAAATATAGAAACATATACTTAAGTAAAAAAGTAATTACTGTATATTACCAAGCTCCAGCAGCATCTCTGCGTTCTTCCGCAGCGTTGGCTTAGCGTTCAGCACCTGCAACACTCACCGTCGCACGCCATGGATCTTGCAGCTTCCAGCGCCTTCACAGTCCTGAGCCCAGCCACCGCCACAGCCACCGCCACAGTGCGAGCTGCGACACGGAGCCATGCGGCGCTAGGACATGGTGCCACAGGTGGGGCCTGGGAGGGGTCCTTGTGGATGAGTTGCACCTCTTGGCTAAATCTGATCCAACTTGGATTGTCCCAGAGAATTTCCGGACAGAAAGCAGAAGCGGCTGGAAGTGGAATGGCTGACATCCTGGAAAGATGACTTTCTCACTATCTGTCTATCTATTGAAATGATTTGAAATGAAGGATTCTTCCATTGTTGCTTCAAGCTCATCAGAGGCATCAAGGGTCGAAACGGCCAAATACGGGGTCGCACCTAGGAATCGCCTAATTAAAATCATTTAAAATCGTGCCCTGGTTGTAAAACGCTGAAATTCCAGCAATGGCACCATATTAATCTCTAGTCTCTAGTTTAAAACAACAAGGGCGGCTAAAAAAATACTAAAATCTCACCAGTAGCTCCTTAAACGCATTTAGAAACATACCACCCAAAAAACTGTCAGTAGCAGTAGCCCCATAAATGAACTCATCGAGAAGGGGCGATGAAGAGAGAGAGAGAGAGAGAGTAGCCCCATAAATCATCATTAAATCATCATAAATCCCCATCCCGCCATGTAGTTTTGCATAGTTTTGCATAGTCTTGCCCTCCCTTCGTAGCTCCAGCTTCGCCTTCCGAGGTGCTGCCGGCACCGCTGTGGCAGTGGCCGGCCTGGCCGCGGTGTCGGGCGCTCAAAAAACACGCCGGGCACGTCGCAGCGCGCCGGTGATGGTGGGCTGCTCCATGGAAGACCAGTGGCTGGGCTGGGGCTGGATTGGCTGATTGGCTGTTGAAGGGATGTGTTTTTTAAGAGGATTTCTTGAGATTACCCTAAAAATCCCCAGGATAAACCAACATAGATGTGGAGAAGCCATGTTTTCCCTATAGGAAAAGAACCTACAAACAGTGGATTTTGCACATCTATGTTAGTTTACAGATGTTTACAGAAGGGTAGGGATTCTAAAATGGGGCGCTAATGGACCCATGCTATTGGGATTTGAATGGATTTGGATTGAACCAAAGTGGGGATTGCTAGTTGGTAGAGATATCATGATATATCGAACTAGTCCATAGGGGTTATAAACCAACACATATAGCTGGGGGGCACCGCATTGTAGGCAATACCCATCATGGTGAAGAATCGGTATAATGTTATAAATGATATATATATATAGTATTTAATCAACATCGAATTAGATTTGAATTGCGATCCTTGTGTCCTTTGGTTCGTTAATCATCATTGTCCTTATTCTTTTGGCCATAAACTGGTATAGTAACTCTGCATTTCCACACCGGCAATGCGGTGCCCTCCAGTTATGTTAGTTGGTTCACATATACCCCTTTAACACCCTTTAACCAGTTCGAGTCTGCCACAAGGCCTAGTAAAATGTTTGTGAAATAGAGGCAACGAACTGGGGCATCACCTTGTGGGTAACAAGACCTTGATGTATTGGGATTTGGCATGGTTTCAGAGCCCCGTGCGAGTTGGATTTGGGGACATGCCCCCATTGTACTGCGCATGAATTGATTGGAAGTGAGCGCTAAGAGGGGCTGGCCAACATTGGCCAACTATGTACAAAGGGGATTTCATCAGGAGTCGTGCCCTACAATCTCGAAACAGCATGGCAGGGCAGGGACTTGCAGTACTGAGGACTTACTACCGCGACCACCTGGTGGCCTGCCGCGCGCAGTTGAACGGCGTGGATGCTCCTACCCCAGAGGAGACTGACAAGCACATGGAGGGCATCCAGGCCTTTGCCAAGCAGGCTTTGGCGGGTGCTTCTGCCGCCATGCTGTTCACCAGCTCCATGGAGGCAGCTGTTGCGTACCCAATCTTTGCCCAGCAGAACTATGCCAACCCTCGTGAGTACACTGGGAAGATCGTGTGCGCCAATTGCCATTTGGCCAGCAAGCCCATTGAGGTGAGGCTTCCTCAGGCAGTGCTCCCCGACACCATCTTCAAGATGGAGGTTGAGGTGCCAGCCAAGTACGCCAAGCGCCGCCAGCCTCTTGCTGATGGCTCCAAGGGCCCCATGAACATTGGCGCCATTGCCGTGATGCCTGAGGGATGGAAGTTGGCTCCCAAGGATCGTCTCCCCAAACCCCTGAAGAAGGAGATGAAGGGCTTGGCCTGGGCTCCATACAGCAAGGACAGAGTGCACGGCCATGGTTTGAAACAAGGATTTCAAAATTATATAGATTGTCCGATTGTCCGAGTCGAGTTGCGCATTTGACAGTGCGTTGTGTTTCTATGCGCATGGTTGAAGAGGAACAGATATATATATATATATAGAGAGAGAGATAGAACTTGCTTGAACTTGCCAAGTGAACGGATCTACCTTTCCCTCTGCCGTATCCTGCCAGGAGTATCCCAACATTGTTGTGGCAGGTCCTGTGCCAGGCAGAGCCAAAGTTGGTCACCTTTTTCAAGGGACTATTATGGTGGATTGAGTGACTGATCATTCTTTGTAGATTACAGCAACCTCACAAGAGGCCACCAAAAATGATGATTAGATATGATAAGTAGGGGTGGTGATCCTAAATTTGTCTCATGTCTGGTCTTGGAACTACCCTCCGGCAATCAAACATGGCAATGGAAAATCCCCAAGTTATGGCAGTTATGGATCAGTTTCCCGTTAAAGCCTCCATCACCCATGTTTGACTACTGGAGGGTCATCAGATTTTTGGAACCCTTTCTGACCTCCTAAAAGTGATCTTCAAAGCCCACCACAGGCGAGACTTATGAGAAGATGGTCCTGCCAGTGCTGTCGCCGGATCCCAATACCAATGCCACTCGGCACCAATGCCACGGTCGTTCACTAAGGAAATGTTGGGAAACCCAACGAGTTCGCCTAGAGGATATCTATGGATATCTTTATTCCGCCATTCTTTATAAAAATGGGAATTGTCTATGATTATCTATGATTGTGGTTACCACATTGCTAGCCATGGCCAACATCTATAGGTATTTTTCTTCTGGACTGAAAGCATGTTGACCCTAATGCCATCGCATCCTCAAGGTGCACCATGGTGCACCCATAACCACGGCAAAGTCTCCCTTCAAGTGACCGCTTCTTCGGGTATTTGTTGTTTTTTTGGACCATCAATTGCGGGCTTAGCATTCTTGTACCATCTGATGTTCAATAGGACCAACTTAATAGAACATACCATAACTATTTTTTATAGGGGCCATCCAAGACTGACAACATGTTTGATAAGCAATAACAATCGTGCCATATCGATTTTGGTTACCCTCTGCTAAACTCACATAGCTATGGAAAATCACCATTTTTCATAAGTCATAAGTAAATCAACGAAGTAAACAACCACCATTTTCAATGCTATGTTACCTGTTGTTTGGCTTGGTGATATGACACGCCTAGCTGAGCTTGGGGGTTGAACTGCCAAGCTGTCCTTGGCTCGCCAGCAAGATGCTGAACTCGCGGAGAGGGCGATGGAGACAGAGACAGAGAGGGAGAGAGAGAGAGAGAGATGGGGGTTTCCATAAATGGTGCATCCCAATAGCTGGATGGTTGATTTCATGGAAAATCCCAATCTAAATTTTTTATGATAACTAGGGCTACCCCCATTTTAAGAAACCTCCAAATGGCTATTAATTAGTTGACCAGAGGGTATCTCATGAGATCTCAACCCAAGATTCGCCGTGCCAGGACAAGGTCATCTTCGGCAAGGGGATCTTCTACTTCGGTGGCAACCGTGGCCGCGGCCAGGTCGTTTAGGGCGTCGAAAAGTGACGCCCCTGTCAGGCATTTTTAGAGGTAAATATGGGTGTAATTGCTGTAAATGTTAAGTAACCAGAGGGTAAATGGTTTCAATTCGGAAGATCAGTTAGAAACAACCATATATATAATATATATATTATATATAGTTATACATATAGAGCCGTCCTGGAGTAGATAGAATATCGGACGTGTTCAATCCTGATTTTCAAAAAAATAGTTGGAATATTTTCACAACCCTCAGTTTTTATACGTTTTTCGTCCCTGTTAAAGTCATGTTTAGCCAATTTTGGACACAGGTCTGGAGAAATAAATATTGAAAAAACACCAAAATCAAAATTTACAAAAAAAATAGATAGAATATTGTTTAGAACCAGGTAGATAGAATATTTTGAGGGAATTGTGAACACCACGCACAGACCCCACAGCAGCTTGAGACTATTTTTCCACAGGATATGCATTCTGTGAATGGGCCACTTGGAACAAAAATATTCTATCTACCCTTCCAAACCATATTCTAACATATTCTAACTACCAGTTTTCGACCTCCCCGGGGGGGTCGACATATTCCAAGTACTACTGTATTTTATTTTTTTAAGTGGCCAACACCCAACATAATTCCAACATAAATCCCCGCAGCCTCCAAAAAATATTCTATCTACTTCAGCTTTAAGCTTTAAGACGCATTAACACGTGCATCATTGATATCATTATCACTGTTTCTGAGATTGCAGCTTGCACGTGATGTCTGCAGCTGCTCTTCGTCACTTTGTCCATCTTGGGGATGGCCAGGTCTACCCTGAGGGCAACCAGAGCAACAACAACCAGTTCTTGGCATCCGCCACCGGCACCATCTCCGCCATCGATGGTTTGAAGGTCTGTGCGATGACCCAATCGTGTTCGATCCTGTTCCATCTAAAGAGCAAATGAAGTGGCCGTAGACCTGAAAATGGGGCAGACCCCCAAATGGACATTTTGATTGGGACAATAATACTATTCCGTTGGAATTGGATGGAATTGGATGGAATTGGGGGTACGCATCCTATTATCAGACACATGTTTCTTCACAGTTTCTTGAGCACTTCGCCTCGCAAGACACGCGAGGCGAGGAGTCTAGGGCCGCGAGCGCATTTCCGGTCAGACTGGGGATGGTTCCCCGTCAGTAGATCAACAGCACCATGGGTAAATGTTTATAGAAAATGGCCATTTATAGTGGATTTTCCCATGAAAAATGGGGATTTTCCATGATTTTCCATAGTTATGTTAGTTTACCAGGGTCTATCTGGATTTACCCTCTGGTTATGACTAACATAGCCATGGTATATAGATGGCCCATAGAAATAGATGGTTTACCGAACTTAAAAACGGGTGGATCTTTCCATGGCGAACTGTTAGTCACAACCAGATGGTAACATTTACCGTGATCATTTCTGATGATTTCCCATGATTTCCCGAAGGGCTTCCTCTATGAATCATATGAATCCCCTGGGCCCTCCGGACTCTGACTCGACTCAACCAGGTGAGCATCACCACTCCTTCGGGCGAAGTAAAGACGCAGGAGTGCCTCACAGGTGCTGACATCGTGGTGCAGGCCAAAACTGCGGGCTGAGGGTGGTCAGCTTAAGAATCTCAACGGATTTCACCCCTTACTGCTTTGTCCAAAGGGGGGGAATCATCCCCAACATGGGTGATATTTATGCCATATTCGTGTTGATTTATGTTGATATATAATACCCTCTGGTAATTTAACGTAGCTATTGAAAATGACCATTTATAGTGGATTTTCCCATTAAAAATGGTGATTTTCCATAGTTATGTTAGTTTACCAGAGGGTATGTTGATATATAATATCTTGATTTCCAGTTGATGTCGATGCCCGGCAGTATTTTTCAAGAGAGGGAGAAAGATATCGAGGTGAGATGTGAGAGGTATGATTGCAATGATGTGTTCTTGTGTCTAAATGAATCAATAAGCAGACAAATGAACATACAAACATGTAAATACAGTACAATACAGCACATACAAATAACATGCCAAATAGAAGTGTTTGTATTTGTACATGTTGTTTCATCTCGGGCAAACCCCCTTGGACGCCCTAGCAAAAAATAGGGGTTGGCAGATTACTTTCCGCTAACTAAATCATTGGTCGATGTTTATTTGGGGAAAGGTACCCTTGGATCCCTCTGGTAAACTAAAATAGCTACGGAAAATGACCCATGTAGTTCGTTGATTTACTTCTTAAATCTTTTTAAGATGTTGATTCTCCATGGCTACGTTAGTTTACCGGAGGGTATATATCTGTATTTCCCCCATGATATTCCATGATATCAGCATGTTTGTTGGTGAAATCCCATTCAACGTCGTTTCAGAACGGTCTTCCTACCATCGCCGTCAGGTGGGTGATGAAGTGACGAAGGATGAACCCCTCACCACCAACCCCAACGTCGGTGGCTTCGGGCAGGCACCGGTAGTCATTCTGGGCGCATGCTGGCCATTCTTGGCCATTTTTTCATCAGAAACACCTGGGCTTGATGCATATATGTATTAGAGTATGTTAGTGTTGGTTCAACTAAACTTGATGCATTCCAGCATGTTTAAACGATTCAAGTGATGCAAAACACTCACAACAATAAACAAAGCGAGCGCTGGATGCTGTAGCACTTGGAAAGGTGCAAAAAAAAACACGAGCTGCAGATGTCAGTTGCAGCTTTGCAACCCCTATCAACCACTCCCAGGAAGAGAAGGAGTGCATCCTGCAGGACATGAACCGCGTCTACGCCTTTTGCGCCTTTGCCTTCTCCTGCTTCATTGCTCAGCTCAGCTTCGTGCTGAAGAAGTGGCTCGGCCGCAAAGATGCCATGGGTTGGTCCAACAAGAAAGGAGGGATTTACCCCTACTACCTGAATAGATGTATAAATTCTCTTTTTCGAGGAAACTGATGATACTTTGGAGTTTTGGTGTTCCATATTTGCAGACGAAAGGGGCTGCTAAGGCAAGCGGCAGGACTATGCGTTGCTTTTCGATGTGTTGTTTGTCCCTGAAGCGGAACCATGGAGCCCATGACAGTACCAGCAGTCAGCATCAACTATAGTCAACATTAGTCAACTACTCTCAAACTCGAAGATGGATTGCATTTTGTTTGATTCTTTGAACGCAGTCTATCATTGGATTGAGAGTTGCCATCACCCCCAAATCATAGGTTGAACATGGTTGAACCATGGTTGAACAGTTGAACCCCACCCTTCTGTGACACTCGCAAGCCCCCAGGAAGCAGTTTGAGAAGGTTCAGCTGGCCGAGGGCTTCTGATCGAGCTGAGTGGCCCCCCCGCAGGATGAACAGATATTCCAAGTAGATCCAAGTAGCATAATGGCAGAGAAAGGCATTGCAACACAGAGTAAGAAGCAAGCGGCAGCAATTGAGGCACTTCTTATATTGAAACAATTTGAAACATATACCCATCATGGGTGATCCATTTCCTTGGATTCACCTCTTATAGTGAATGAACTTCATATCGTAACAAGTCATGGTGGCAAACTTATGGGGCGTGTTTTCCCAAAGACACGGTGACTTTTTGAGACTTGACCGTGGCCCCTGCGACGCCGGCCCCTACGCCGCGTCCGTGAAAAATTCTCCCTTGCCACCGCTGCGTGGCGGGCAATGCGGGGAAGAGAAAACGTTGCACCTTTGCACCTCAATTCCCCCGAAGAACAGATCCAAGCACCAAAATGTGAGGAGAACCCAAGTTTAACCACCATCTTTCACAATCTTGGACCCGATTCTGATCAAAAAACCTATATAACTTGAATAATATCGACATAAATGGTTCAAAGCCCGCTTTGGAGGTTCCATCACCCTCCAATTGGTGCTGCTTGTTGCCATCCCAGGCTTCGCTGTTCATCTCAGCCTCCCAGCCCCAAAAATCGGACCTTTCACCATCCGCAACTGCAGCCATGGCCCTGGCCCCTGCCTTCACCGTGGTCTCCAGCCCCGGCTCCGTCAACACTCCCACCTTGCGGGGTGCTGTGCAGCAGCCACCGGCCGACAAAGTGCAGGGACCAGCTGGTGCAGGCACCTGCGGGCTGGTGTTCACATGTGTTTGGGGAGGTTGGTGTGAACAAGAAGCTGTCGCTTCAGCCTCCATCGGCTGATCCGAAGTCAGTACTTGCATTGTACTTTTTTCCGTTTGGTCGGTTGGTTCTCAAGTGCAGTTTCCTAGGCTCAAGCGCAATGGAAACAGAGAAAGATAGTCCTGATATGTCCTGATGTTGTTGGACTCTACTAATTACATGAGTTAGCAACTGACATCTCAATTTTCCGCTTCCGTCGTTGCGAGTCTCAAACATCTCAAACTGCAGGACCCCAGGGTTGAACATTTGAATGCATTTGACAGGTTTCAGTATGTGTATATAACTATTCCCCAAAGGTGAGCCTAAACTTGAAAAATCAACATATGAGTTGGTCTTTTAAATTGAACATGTGAATGCATTCGCTAAAAATATTCGTATGTATACAACTATATAAACAAATAAATAAATAAATATATATATATCATATATATATATGTATATATATATATATATGCGTGTCCGTGTGTGTATGTTTTATATATCATAAATCATAACATTTATTTGTGTCATGTACCACAGTATTTTACATTTATATATGCACCTACCTAGCATAGACATTTCCAAAGCAGGTGTCACCTTGGCCGCTGCCGGCCTGGTTGCTGCCGCCGCGGTGACGCGTCGCGCGCGTAGGGCGAAGGGCAGCATGCCGAAGGGTCCAGTGATGGTTGGAGCATCCGTGGCGGCAGAAGAGTTGCTGGGCAGCAGGCCTAGGTGGTGCCTCAGTTCGTTAGCTGAGTCCGCTTAGAAGTACATACACACATATATATATATATATATAATATATATATATATATTTGCATATGCATCAGATTTATGGTAGACATATCTGGTAAATGGGGTTTCAGACGTGTCGTCTTTTTCCCCGTTCTGGGGCCCAAAAGGAGTAGAGAATATCGGTCTTTCTCGCGGCTGTGTTTGAGAATGATCAAGGGGACAACAATCATCGGGAGGCTCGTATGGTTTTGGGGGGGCCATTTAAATATCCCATGATATCTCTCTGTACATGTTCAACGGAATGGCTCTCGACAGGGCAGCAGCTGCATTGATAGTTGATCTCCTAGAGGCCACTAAAATCACCAAAGCATTGGGCCCTTATTGGCATGGAATTCAGCTGTAGGATGACACGATATGACACGTTGAGAGAACATCTCCTGAGCCCAGGTCCTACTACCGCGACCACCTGGTGGCCTGCCGCGCGCAGTTGAACGGCGTGGATGCTCCTACCCCAGAGGAGACTGACAAGCACATGGAGGGCATCCAGGCATTTGCCAAGCAGGCTTTGGCGGGTGCTTCTGCCGCCATGCTGTTCACCAGCTCCATGGAGGCAGCTGTTGCGTACCCAATTTTTGCCCAGCAGAACTATGCCAACCCTCGTGAGTACACTGGAAAGATCGTGTGCGCCAATTGCCATTTGGCCAGCAAGCCCATTGAGGTGAGGCTTCCTCAGGCAGTGCTCCCCGACACCATCTTCAAGATGGAGGTTGAGGTGCCAGCCAAGTACGCCAAGCGCCGCCAGCCTCTTGCTGATGGCTCCAAGGGCCCCATGAACATTGGCGCCATTGCCGTGATGCCTGAGGGATGGAAGTTGGCTCCCAAGGACCGTCTCCCCAAGCCTCTGAAGAAGGAGATGAAGGGCTTGGCCTGGGCTCCCTACAGCAAGGAGACCGCAGCGTTTTGGAAACCCGTTTGTATCTTTCCAACTGTCCGAATACTTGGCCATTGTGAATGGCCCGTTGCTTTCCCAACATAACTATGTAATTTGAGTTTGCTGAGGCATGTTCAAGGCACTCATAGGTTCCTAAGTGTGAGACAATGAGAGACATACCCATTTGCATCCATTTGCAGAGGCCCACCTTGGCTGAAGATCCAGGAAGATCCAACCGTCCATTTCCCCAACACATCCATTCCATTCTTTGTAGAAATGCATCCAAGATGGTGGCATGCCCGGCATGCCCAAAAGGAGTATCCCAACATCGTGGTAGCTGGACCTGTGCCAGGCATGGGGTTTAACATGGTTTAACATCTGACGACCTTTTTGGGGGCTCCAAGTGAGCCCTTAAGAATACCAGGCTTGATTGGTTTCTATAGGGACTTGTAACTTGTACTACCCAATTTACTGGATATCTAGGAATTATGATAGCCCATGGTAGGGAAATCTATCAACCAACTAGTAGAATGGGATGGGATAGGGGTAGTTTTGATGGCTCAAGTACGACTGTATATATGGATGTGTCAAAGTGGGGGGCACCCCAGATCATCCAAAATTAGACCAGTTTTTAGTATTGAGTAATGTTTGCCTCTGATTAGAAGCCTGGTACCCTATTGTGAGAAATTTCTTGCTCCTAATTCAGTAACATGCTAATTGTTGGGGGGAACCTCTATTGTGAGATTTTTTTTCCAGATGTTTTTTTTTTCAACTTTTATTTTTATTCCAAATGCTTTATTGTTGTTTTGAAATGAATTAATTTATTTTTATTTTTACTTCATCTATTTTTATTTTATTTTTTATTTTTACTTTTTACTTTTCTATTTTAGTTTTATGTTTATTTACTCTTGTTTCATTTTTTTCATTGTTTCCTTTCTTATCTTTTTTTGTTGCTTTATTTTTCATTAATATATTAATTACCCTATGAGTAGCTCAGTTACTCAATAATATAATTGTCTGGATGGTACTCTATTGTGAGCACCCACTTTTGGGAGTGAAAAAAACACAAAACCCTTTCTCCACCTTTCTTTGGCTAAAGCTGGCCCCTTTACTGTAGAAAGCCATATTTGTGTTAAAGCTTTTAAAATGCAAGGTTTCCCAAATAATTAGATGCCTTAATTAAACCCTTATTAAAAAACAGCACCCAGACAATTTTTCAAGGGGATACCTCATGAGTGGCTCAGTTACTCAATAATATAATTGTTTGGATGGTACTCTATTGTGAGCACCAACTTTTGGGAGTGAAAAAAAAAGCAAAACCCTTTCTCCACCTTTCTTTGGGTAAAGCTGGTCCTTTCACTTTAGAACGCCATATTTGTGTTAAAGCTTTTAAAATGCAAGGTTTTTCCAAATAATTAGATGCCTTATTAAACCCTTATTAAAAAACAGCATCCAGACAATTTTTCAAGGGTGTACCTCATGAGTGGCTCAGTTACTCAATAATATAATTGTTTGGATGGTACTCTATTGTGAGCACCAACTTTTGGGAGTGAAAAAAAAAGCAAAACCCTTTCTCCACCTTTCTTTGGGTAAAGCTGGTCCCTTTACTTTAGAAAGCCATATTTGTGTTAAAACTTTAAAATGCAAGGCTTTCCAAATAATTAGATGCCTTATTAAACCCTTATTAAAAAACAGCATCCAGACAATTTTTCAAAGGGGTACCTCATGAGTGGCTCAGTTACTCAATAATATAATTGTTTGGATGGTACTCTATTGTGAGCACCAACTTTTTGGAGTGAAAAAAAAAAACAAAACCCTTTCTCCACCTTTCTTTGGGTAAAGCTGGTCCTTTCACTTTAGAAAGCCATATTTGTGTTAAAGCTTTAAAATGCAAGGTTTTCCAAATAATTAGATGCCTTATTAAACCCTTATTAAAAAAACAGCACCCAGACAATTTTTCAAGGGGGTACCTCATGAGTGGCTCAGTTACTCAATAATATAATTGTTTGGATGGTACTCTATTGTGAGCACCAACTTTTGGGAGTAAAAAAAAAGCAAAACCCTTTCTCCACCTTTCTTTGGGTAAAGCTGGTCCTTTACTGTAGAAAGCCATAGTTGTGTTAAAACTTTAAAATGCAAGGTTTCCCAAAAAATTCGATGCCTTATTAAACCCTTATTAAAAAACAGCACCCAGACAATTTTTCAAAGGTGTACCTCATGAGTGGCTCAGTTACTGAATAATATAATTGTTTGGATGGTACTCTATTGTGAGCATCCACTTTTGGGAGTAAAAAAAAAAACGAAACCCTTTCTCCACCTTTCTTTGGGTAAAGCTGGTCCTTTCACTTTAGAAAGCCATAGTTGTGATAAAACTTTAAAATGCAAGGTTTCCCAAATAATTAGATGCCTTATTAAACCCTTATTAAAAAACAGCATCCAGACAATTTTTCAAGGGGATACCTCATGAGTGGCTCAGTTACTCAATAATATAATTGTTTGGATGGTACTCTATTGTGAGCACCAACTTTTGGGAGTGAAAAAAAAGCAAAACCCTTTCTCCACCTTTCTTTGGGTAAAGCTGGTCCCTTTACTTTAGAAAGCCATATTTGTGTTAAAACTTTAAAATGCAAGGCTTTCCAAATAATTAGATGCCTTATTAAACCCTTGTTAGAAAACAGCATCCAGACAATTTTTCAAAGGGGTACCTCATGAGTGGCTCAGTTACTGAATAATATAATTGTTTGGATGGTACTCTATTGTGAGCACCAACTTTTTGGAGTGAAAAAAAAAAAACGAAACCCTTTCTCCACCTTTCTTTGGGTAAAGCTGGTCCTTTCACTTTAGAAAGCCATAGTTGTGATAAAACTTTAAAATGCAAGGTTTCCCAAATAATTAGATGCCTTATTAAACCCTTATTAAAAAACAGCATCCAGACAATTTTTCAAGGGTGTACCTCATGAGTGGCTCAGTTACTCAATAATATAATTGTTTGGATGGTACTCTATTGTGAGCACCAACTTTTGGGAGTGAAAAAAAAATGAAAGTAAATTAAAAGTAAATTGAAATCAATTGAAAGTAAATTGAAAGTAAATTGAAATCAATTGAAAGTAAATTGAAAGTAAATTAAAAGTAAATTGAAATCAATTGAAAGTAAATTGAACGTAAATTAAAAGTAAATTGAAATCAATTGAAAGTAAATTGAAAGTAAATTAAAAGTAAAAAAAATCCATTGAAATCAATTGAAATCAATTGAAAGTAAATTAAAAGTAAATTGAAATCAATTGAAAGTAAATTGAAATCAATTGAAAGTAAATTGAAATCAATTGAAAGTAAATTGAAATCAATTGAAATCAATTGAAAGTAAATTGAAATCAATTGAAAATAAATTGAAATCAATTGAAAGTAAATTGAAATCCTTTCTTAAGTTGATTGACCAAAAAAATGTTGAGGGGGGGGCAAAAAAAAGTGCGAGTTATAGAGTATCCTCAAATTGTTTGGGGGGGGGGCCCTCACACTAATCAGAGGCACACATTAATGAATTTATGTTTTTTGGGATCCATTTTATGAATCCACCATATGGAATTGATAGGAACATAGTTGTTGAATATCGGAACAATTCTCTGTGGCCAGTATGGACTGCAATGACCATGTGGAACTTTTTTGGAGGCGAAACCTACGAGAAGATGGTGCTCCCTGTCTTGTCCCCGGATCCCAATACCAACGTCGCTTGAAAAATCGTCGGGGGTGGCACCAGGGCTCGGATGATCGGATGATGAACCGGGGGATTTGGGAAGTAGCCGAGTAGCCGATTTTTTCAGGCCCATCTTTGGGGTACTTCTATGATATTTTGATCTTCTGTCGATGATAGAAGTGGAATGACTCTAAGATATTTCCATATATTTCGATAAGCATAAGATGCTACTTTCCATGGATTTCCATCAATTTTTTCCATGCTATCCATATGATATCCATGTTTGTTGCCCTCCCATGGATGGGTCTCCAGCTCAGCTTCAGGACAAGGTGATCTTTGGCAAGGGCATCTTCTACTTTGGCGGCAACCGCGGCCGTGGCCAGGTTCGGAAACCAGGGCAGGTGTGGCAGGTCGGGCAAGAGAAATCCACCATTTGAACAGTTGATTTTCACTTTCAAAAGTCCATTGAGAGCGGATTTTCCTATAGTTGTCCATGGTTTTCCCATGATTTTCCTCTCAAAACCTTCATTTCATTGGGGAATTTCCAGCCATCTTTCATTCCCGGAGGGCGAACAGATTCCAAGGATACGACCGTCCTCTTTGGGCTTAAGACTGGTGGATCTGGTGCTTTTTTTTGGGGCTCCTAAGATTCACTTCCATATCGTTCCTTGGAAAGTCGGGATCATCAGCCCCAAAAGTGAGTCACCCGTAGATTTTCAGGGGTCCATGTTGTTTCGAAGTGCCGAAGGGCCAAGTAGAGTGGCAGGTCTACCCTGAGGGCAACCAGAGCAACAACAACCAGTTCTTGGCATCCGCCACCGGCACCATCTCCGCCATCGATGGTTTGAAGGTCTGACATGGCTGGGAACACTCTGTTCCCTGTAAACGAAGGTAGAGATGGTCCAATTCATGCATGATTACTGTAATTGTGGATGTTCATGGACTATATATGACTATATCCTTTTGACTTTATGTTGGTTTTTAGTGGCGAGTAAGTCTCATCACGAGAATGTAAGGTTCATCATGTCATGTCACGCATTTGATTGAGAAAAAGGTATAGCAGGGCTGGAATTCACAAGATGTCTTTTGCGACAGTCGGCCAGTGGATCTGTTCAGCATACAAATGACAGTTGATGTCAGCTTGTGTTACCTTATAGATCTCTTCCTGTGGCACCATAGGAATAAAATAATTGTGCATACACAATTCGCTTATAGATGTTTCGAGAGATATAGATAGGCCAGATAGGCTATGATATACTTATTATTTTTCTGGTTTTCTTCCTAGACTGTCAGAATATGTGTGTAATATATATATATATATATACACATGTGTGTGTGGGTGTATCTATGCGACTATGTGTGCCAACCTACCATCCCTGGGGATGGTTCAACTCCCCATAAACCTGTTCTCCCAAAGCCTGGAATCATGGTTAGATTGTGGGAAATCATCCCCCTTCATGGCCCAACAAGTCAGGTTAGTGAAATATTATAATTGACCTAGAAAATATGGGTGTTTTTTATAACTAACTAACTAATTACTACTAATTACAGTATTTTCATATGTGTTCATATTATAATTACCATCTATATAACTAGTAGAAACCATCATAATTGCTTTACTAACATTACAGTTACTACGGTTACTGGTTGGTGGTTTGGAACATTATGTATTTTTTCCATAATATATGGGATAATCCTTCCCATTGACTAATTATTTTTCAAGATGGTTAAAACCACCAACCAGGTTACTACAGTTACTATTACATCTGCAAACATTACAACATGCCGTGCCAGGTGAGCATCACCACTCCTTCCGGTGAAGTGAAGACGCAGGAGTGCCTGACAGGTGCTGACATCGTAGTGCAGGCCTGGGTCTCCAGTCATTTTTCACGGTTTGCTATGGAAAATCACCATGTTTAACAGGTAAATCAACAAAGTAAAAAAAATGTTCAATGGCTATGTTACCCTTGGGTAAACATACAGAAAGCTATAGAAAATTGCCCATTTTTCTCTATTAAAGATGGTGATGTTCGGAAGGCACAAAATGGGTTGAAGTAACATAGATGTGGAAACCACCTAGACCTAGATGATCTACTTTCATGGTGTGTGTTCCACATCTATTTCGTTTACGGAAGGAACATGGTGATTCAATTGCTTCGGTGTCATCATTTCCGTGGGGAAAGTCATATCCATGGAGCCGATGGCACGGGACCACCGTTGGTAAAAGCACGTTTTAAAGGTGATGGTTTTCCTCAGCTATGAGTACCAACGTTGGTAAACTCAGCTAAGATAGCTAAGTTGCCTACGTATGGTGACAGATTGCGAAGGATTGGGACCCTGATTGGGATTCGAGTTTGCGACGGAGGAACTTGGACATTGTCTGCACTTGGTGGCTCATCCCAGTTAGTAAGTGGGATATAGCCCCAGTTATAAATGGGATAAGTAGGGTTAATCCACTTATAATTGGGGTTATAACCCACTTATTAAGTGGGATGAAGCACCAAGCATAGGAGCCTCGCAGACCTGGCAGGTGGGTGACGAGGTGACCAAGGATGAGCCCCTCACCACCAACCCCAACGTGGGCGGCTTCGGCCAGGCCGGTGGAGTGGGTGGTATATGGTGGTATCAACTAATTATAAGCCATCCCCCAAATATGGCCACGAATGGGTGGGATTCCAAGCATCAATTTCAAGGGTAGGTTGATGATTGATTTCTACAAACCCATATCTACATAGGTGTATGGAGTCCTTATTTTTTGGGGGACAGCGACTTCCTCGTCAACTATGTTTTCCCCACCTTAAACACTTGCACGTTTGAAGTTTCCGTTGGTGAATTGTTGGTGAATTGTTTTTTGGGGAAGCTGTCAAGGAGTCCTTGGATTTCCCCTTACAGACGGGGGTTTAGAGAACCGCCTTTATCAGCCTTTGAAGTGCCCAGGAAGAGAAGGAGTGCATCCTGCAGGACATGAACCGCGTCTACGCCTTCTGCGCCTTTGCCTTCTCCTGCTTCATTGCCCAGCTCAGTTTCGTGCTGAAGAAGATGCTTGGGAAGTTGAAAGAACGGAGTCTGCAAGGTTCTGAGGCCTGAAGCAGGATGGGTCACATGAGAACCATGTGGAACCATCATGGGATCAAAAGTGAGTTGCTGTCAACGGGTGGGGGGTTGGATTCCGGAGATGTTGCGGAAAGGACCACCTTTTACCATTTTTTTGTTATTGGGCTTTTGCTGAGGAAGCAGTTCGAGAAGGTCCAGTTGGCTGAGGGCTTCTGAGCAGTCATATTTATATAGTTGAATTTAGATGGGCAGATGGTAGTGCCGCAGCCATGACTTAGCCACGATTCCTTGAATGCTGAAGTCCAGTCCTCCATTTTCTCCAACATTAAGACCTCACCAGGTCAGAAAATGATGGCACTATCATCATCCATGGAGTATTTGTTTATACTATTTTCCATAGCTGATAGCCCATCGGCCCCTTGGCCAAAGAATGACCGAAAAAAACTTGGCGACTTGCCATGCGAAGGTGAGACTCGCTCGGCGTCATGACGGGTTAGGTGGCATTTTTTCGACTGACATTCCTGCGAACGCGCATGTGGCGCCGATGCAAGAGAAAGGGATTGCACTTGGCCCATTTAGGGTGGAGAACATTGAGAAGCTCGCTTGAGAATAGGCCATGATAATTCGTGTGATAAAGGGTGATAGTGCTCGAATTGCACACCTGCTTTTGTTGTCAGTCTCCCTATTTTGATGTTGCTTAAAAGATCTTAAACTATCTTAAACTGCAGATATCGGATTCTTGCCCTGGTGGAGAAAGACATAGAAAAACGAGATCTTTCTCGTTCTCATTAACTGGCGTATTGCCGTGTCAGCCAGGCTGGAGCCAGCTGTTCAAAAGTGCCCCTCGTCGTCCCTCGTTACCATGGCACTGGTGGCTCCTGCTTTCACAGTCCTCAGCCCGACGGTAGTGACGCCTAGCTTGGAGCAGCAGATTCCAAGAGTGGTGGCGGGTTCCAGCAGCCATGGACACAGCGGTACAGGCGGAGGGTATAAGGTGAGAAGCCTTGATGCCCAAGAGGTCCCAAGAGTAATCAGTCTGATATAAATAGACATGTAAATGTAAATTATGATCACGTACATGCCGACATGTTCTTTTTTTTCCCAACTACACACGCATATGTACATATAGATTTCTGTTGAAGTGTGCATATATGGATGAATTAAAACGACCATGCCCAGAAAGTATCATGACATATCGTGAAGTTATATTATATCCCCATGTTTATGGCATTGTTTATAGTCGAAGGAAGTTTAGAAGCTAAACTTCCGACAATATGGACAGATGAAAAGCAGAGTAGGGAAGAGGCAGAGAGAAGAGAAAGATTAGAAGAGAGAAGAGTAGAAGAGAAAGAGTCAGAAGAAAGAAGATGCAGATGCGCGAAAAGGTAGGA